CTTTCTGGGTCTCGAGAGGAACGTATATAACAGCGCTCTTTTTCACCGCCATCTGCCTATTCCCCTAACTTTCAGTTTCTCTCTTGGGCTCTTCTTCTCTGATCTTTTTGTGGACTTGGATTCGTTTCCCAAAGTCAGAACCTTGAGGAAATACCGCAGAAAAAGGCGGCGTCTTCCGGGTACTTTCTTTCCGTTGTGACTCTTGTCTCTTGGCCGGAACGGAACCTCATACTATCTTTCTCCACAAATCCTCCGTCATCTTCACCTCCAATAACTGCGCCTCTTAGTGTAAAGACTGAGTACCATCTCACTCGCAAACTACTTACTCTAGCATTTTCTCCCTTCTTCAACAAAAATTTCTACCTCGAAGCTCAAGAGCCACGTTATTTGGGAGTTCATCCTATAGTAAAACAATTTTTCATCACAAATCAAGCAAGCAACGAACATTATGCAGTCCGGCGGCCCTTCCCCCCTGCCATCATTCCCGGCATCCCGGGATGGCACACCCAGTGGCAACGGCACCAACACCAACGGAACCACGAATGGTAACACCAACGGCACCAACGGTACCACGAATGGCGTGCAGAAGAGGACCAAGATTTGTGTCTACTGCGGCGCCTCTCCCGGTTTCAAGCCTCAGCACATGGAAGCCGCTCGTGAGTTAGCAAGAATCATGGCCGAGAACAACATTGATCTTGGTGAGTCACTGTCCTCACGCTCCTTATCTCACTCAAACCTGTCGACTCCCCATCTCCATCCACGATTTGGGCAGCGATAAAGTCCGAGTCACTATATAATGACAACATGTGGCGCAACCCTTCTCAGACAAGATGAAACATAGGAGGCAAAACCTCTACCAATGTGTTTCTAGTTCATGATGTACTAACAAACATCTCAGTCTACGGTGGTGGAACCGTCGGCCTGATGGGAGAGGTGGCAAAGACACTCGTTTCCCTTGCCGGCCCGGACTCGGTCCACGGCATCATCCCCGAGGCCCTCGTCAAGTATGAGCGTGACGGCACCTACGGTACCGTCAACAAGGACAACATGTACGTCCCGGACGAGACCGTCTACGGACGCACCACCGTTGTCAAAGACATGCACACCCGCAAGCAGATGATGGCCAAGGAGGTCTTCGCCGGCGGCCCCGGCAGCGGCTTCGTCGCCCTGCCCGGCGGGTACGGCACCATCGAGGAGGTTCTCGAGACGGCCACCTGGAACCAGCTGGGCATTCACGACAAGGGCATCTGCCTCCTCAACATCAACGGCTTCTACGACGGCATCCTCGAGTGGGTGAACAAGAGCGTCGAGGAGGGCTTCATCAAGGCCGCCAACGCCGACATCCTCGTCACCGCTACTACCCCCGAGGGTGCCATCACGGCGCTCAGGGATTACCAGGTCTCTGCGGCCACCTTCAAGCTCGACTGGACCAACTCTTAGGTCATATTGGTAGTCCGTCGGCAATGCTTTCCAGAAAACGGAACTTCATGTGCAGGAACTAGAGACGGAGAAAGACAGATGGCGTGTGCAATGTAAAAGCGGATACGTACCGGAGTCTTGGCGCCCTTTCGTGTTTCCCAACTCCTATACGTTGAGGCTCGGTAGGTGGTCGGGTTGGATAAAATGAAGCGAAGCGAGGAAAGTGAGTCTTGTTTCCTCCATTCCGATCGTTGGTGACACGCGGGATAAGACATTCAAAGAAAGGGGCATGAACGGGGGATCGCTCGGCTATCTATCATGTCACATCGGTGTTGGTTGCACGTATTGTAGTTTGATAGACCTTCATGAGTTACACAACCCAATAAAGCAAACCTGCATCTTCAGGTATCTGTCTCAAGCTCCGGATCATCAGTGAGCACATAGATTGCGTGTCTTCCTGTCTCTTGAGTCATCGGATGCAGCTCATTTTTGGGCCATCGAATCTCCTTTTTGCAGTGTATTGGTACAAGTCTAAACGGGCCGGCTCTGTGCGTTCGAGGACGGTGAGTCTCCTTCCCATAGCCGTGTCCAGTCAGCCAAACCCCCGGATAGGAGGTTGTTTGGCGACGATCCGGCCTAGCCCAACGCAACGCAGCGTAGAAGCCCATCCGCGCATCTTTCCTGAATTCATGATTTCCGCAGCGCTTAGCCGTCAACCTCCATACCCTCACCGCCCTCTTCGCCGCCGCCCTGGCTCTCGCTAGCGGCGACACTGTCGAGCCACTCCTTGACGTCTTGGCCGTCGTACAGCTTGAACGGCTGGACCGTCTTGACACCATCCTTCTCGGTGTAGCCGACGACACCGACACTGGTGTTCTCGACCGTCAACTCGCGGTCCTGGACCAAACTCTCCTTGAGGGCCTTGAGACCGTGTTGCACGAGCTCCTCGCGGGAGCACGTCTCAAAGGCGTCGATGTTGCGCTCGAGGTAGGTGCGGGCCATCTGGCTGCGTGCGCCGATGGCGAAGGCGACCATCTCCTCCGTCATACCACTGGGCTGGAATTCGAAGAGATGGGGGCCGCGCTCGTCGACGCCGGCAACGAGGAGACCGACACCGTAGGGCCGCTTGCCGTAGACCTGGGTGTTGATCTGGGCCTTCTCGCCAATCATGTCGACGAGGGTGCGGAGGGGCATTGAGCGACCGTACGTCATGCGGTGGCCGAGGCACTGCTGCTTCATGAAGTTGGAGAGGACGCGGGCGTCCGAGGTGAGGCCTGCGATGGCGATACCGGAGTGCTCATCGACGGTGAAGATCTTCTTTTGGTACGAGGACAGCTCTTCGGCGTTGCGCTATTGGGGAAAGAATGGCATGTTAGCTTCATGCGCTCTATAGTAAAGGTCCGCGAGTATCGATTGAAAACGGATGATGTAGGGAGAGGCAAGAGAGAGAGGTCCCAGGTATCGGCAAACGTCGTACCTTGATTGCTACTAGAACGGCGTGTGTTTTGCTGGCAATGCCCACTACTACGGAACCCTGCTTCACTGCTTCGGCTGCATACTCGATCTGGAATATCCGGCCTTGCGGCGAGCTATGAGACGTTGAAGGTTAGCACTCCATCTTTATGCTGGCCTTCTTCACGGCGGAGTCGGGGAGACTGGAAGGGAAGGCTGAGGAAGCGGGCCAAACAGCTTACAATGTCACCGAGTCGTTGTCGTAATTGTTTCTGAACATGGCGGGCGTGAGGGGTGATTCGTAGCTTCGTCAGGCGGTTCGGCGGTTTCTGGAAACGGAAGGAACTTGGAGTCTTCGTGTAGCGGGTCGTGGATGGTTGAGGGAGACGGGAGGGAGAGATTCGATCGCGGGGTGGTCGTTGGGCGAGCAGGTCGGTGATGGGAGAGCGGGAGACAGCTTGGTGGATAATAAAGCGTCCCTCCCGCACGCCAGGCCCAGCTCAAGGCAGGTCGAGCTTTCGTAGCACTCTCTCAGCCTGGAGCCAGGTGCCAGGGTGCCAGGTGCTCCGTGCATCCCTCGTTGAGGTACGTACACTTTCCTGCCCCCGTACCTGACCTCACTCACAGCCGGGGTCTTTCCGAGTGGAGACCTTCCACTATTTGCGGTTTGTCATTGGAGGCTGTCCGGCCGCTGGAACAAGGTTGCGCCGTGCGCTGACGACGGTCTTCGTGCGTCAGGCCTGGGACCCGCCATCGCATCGCAACTCAGCCTGCCAGCCTAGCCGCGAACTACTACTCAACCGACACGACCGATTGATCCTCCACCACCACGAAGCTTCCCCACGACTAATCAAAAGACAGCCTAATCGCAAGAAACGATCGTCGCTCGAAGCTCTCAACGGAACTCCCAAGGAAGTTTCGAAGGAATACATTTGCACCCCCGGCGGGGCCGTCTATACCCAGCTCCGACTTCGATACCCGTCCGAAACAAGTAAACCACAGCCTACCTTCCAACGATATTCAAGATGCCGACCGCCGGGCTCAAGACCATCATCGCCCTTTCCTTCGTCCTCGCCGTCGGATTTCTCCTCGTCATCCTCTCCTGCGCCCTCTGGAAGGTCTACTACCCGCTTCTCGTTGTCGCTACCTACGTATTGGCCCCGATCCCCAACTGGGTCTGCTCGCGATGCACCAACCCTGATGACTTTGGCGAGGGTTCCGGCTCCGCCGTGCTGGACCTCGGCCGCTTCTGCACTGGGTTCATGGTGGTTATGGGAATTGGTGAGCTTCTTCTCTCCCTCCCCCCCCCCCCCTTTCCCAACCCCTACGGCTCTTTTGTCTTTGATCATTGCGAGGATCGTGTTGCTGACCATGCTCTTCTATCGCAGCCCTGCCCATCGTTCTCGCCCACTCCGATCTCATCCAGGTTGAGGCCATGGTCATGTCGATAATTGGCGGTCTCCTCATTTACGGAACCATCATCAGCTTTAGCATGTTCTTTCAGGAGGAGCAGGACTTCTGACTAGCGTCGGGAGCAACGACCGGGGACAATTGATACGGCTATGAGCAGGCGATGGGGAAGTAGTGTCAGCAGAAGCAGCAGAAGCAGCAGCAGAAGCAGTGATGGAGGGCATACGCATTTCAACCAAATTGGCGGCAGACGTGTACAGTACGACGAGACGAGGTCGGAAACCATTGTGGCGCTCGGGTTCGGGAATCCGGCAAAGTGGGATTTGGAACGGGGTGCGCTTTACTTGGAGGCTTCACATGTATATCCAGCATCATTCCGTCAGGCGGGCGTTTCCTCTTTTTTCTCGCTTTTGTTATGCAACGACAAAACCATCTAATTCCCAATGACCGACTGCGGAAAACTGATAGCGTAAACATGGATTATTTAATAATGATCTTGTTTTTTCTACTAGTTTCGTGTGGATGATCCGGGTCGTCTAAAAGTTGAGTCTAATACCCGTGAAGGTCCAGAGTCTAATATCCCAGATACGTTGAGGTATCAACCAAAAAATCCCCCTTACCATGAATATCCCCCTTCATGACATAGTAAACGCCAGTAAGCCGATTCCAAAAATTGCGAGGTCCTCTCCTCCCAATCTATCCCCAAATCCCGAACCCGCTCATGCTTCCGCAAAGACGCCCAAAGGCCCCGCCAACTTGGTAAACATCTCCTCCCTCTCACCCTCGGCAGTGCTCAGGATAGTCACGGCACCGCCGGCCCCGATATGCCAGACCTCTCTCGGCTCCGTCTCGCCTTCCTCCGGCGGCGCAGCTTCATCATCCCACTTGAACATAGTTCGGATCGTGACGCTCCAATCCCCCTTTCCAGTGGCGTCCATGTACCCCACCACGCCAGAATACAGACTCCTCTCCCTGTGCTCCTCGATCTCCTGCAGCAGCTCGCAGCTCCGCTTCTTCGGGGCTCCCGTCATGCTGCCCGGCGGGAGACTAGCAGCGAGGACATCGAGCCCCGTGTGCTGACGATCGGCACCCGTCGTCGTCGTCGTCTTGGGCTTCGGTAGCTGTCCGTTGACAATCGTAATCATCTGGAACACGGTCGCGTACTCCTCCACCTTCATCAGGTGCGGCACCGTGACGTTGCCAGAGCCGCAGACGCCGTGCAGGTCGTGGCGGACGAGGTCCACAATCATGAGGTTCTCCGCCTCCTCTTTGGGCACGTGCAGGATCGCCTCGGCCTGCGCGAGCGTGGCGACCTGATTCGACTTGCGGACGGTGCCCTTCATCGGCCGCATGGAGCAGAAGCCGTCGGCGTCGTACTCGAGGAAGCGCTCTGGGGAGCTGCTGATCAGGGTCGCGCCGCCGAGGCGGATGAAGGAGCCAAAGGGTGCGGGCTGGCGGGCTCTGAGCGTCTTGTAGAGCCTCCAGGGCGCAACGTGTGCGGATTTGTTTTGCACCTGTTCTGAAGACAGGTGTCCGTTGGCGAGGCCGTTTTGGTGTTCATTTGTCGAGCGTCCGGGTAATGTGATTGTCGTCTGGTCCGTCAGGCACAGCTCGTAGGACTCGCCGGCGGCGATGAAGTCTTGACAGCGCGAGACCTTGCCTTCGTACTCGTCGGCGGCGGGGACCCGAATAACGGGCCTCGTAGCTACCGTCGAAGCATCCGAACCGTTGACGGTGGTCTTGCCCGGTGACTGCCAAAAGTGGGACGTCTGCAACGATGCCACCACGGAGTCGATCCAAAAGTCGGCATTGAGTTTGCGCTTCTGAAGGTGCTGGACATGCAACAAGCCCTTGACGTGATCGACCACAATACTCTTAGTGACCCAAGCGAAGCACAGGTCAGGCCTCTGATGCCCTCTTTCAGCAGCCACCTCCACGTCGATCCCCTTTAGTCCCATCTCGTACGTAAGGTAGCCCATGAAGCCTCCTCGGAACGGTGTCTGGAGCTCCCCCGAGGCCGGGATGCGTCGCTTCTCAAGGAAACCGGAGAGGAGATGCCAAATGTTCCTTTGCGACCCGAAGGGGACAGTCTCCACCAGGTCGACGGGCAGCCCCTGAATCGATGGGATCCGGGCCGTGGCGAAATCGTCTCCCACATGATGCTCGATTCGCAGTGACTCCTCCACATCCAGAGCAATGACGCTAAATCGGCCCCGAACGTCCGCAGCTCCCGTCGCCATGTTGCTCGAGTTGGACGAATCCAAAATGATGTGCTCCGTCCTGCCACTCTTTAGTATCTCCACGATATCCGGCACCTTGATGTTCGCCGGAAGGCTGATGGTCTTGTATCGGTACTCGCAGTCGAGTCCGACAGTCGCCAGGGGCGTAGGCATCTCCGTCCACTCGAGGATCGGGGCGTTCCCTCGCTGGGCCGCGGCACGGTTCTCACAGAGGAGACTCGGCTTCACTGCGTTCCTTGCCAGGAATCGCTCTCCGGTCAAGACAGTCCTATTCGCCTTCGAATTCCACGCCATGGCTTCGCGAAGCCAGTTGCTGATGACCGCATGACCTGCCGGCTGGGTACATACAGACTCTGGGTGGTATTGAAGGCCCCAAAAGGGTTTGCTCTGGTGCTTGACCGCCATGAGGATTCTCTCGCGGCCGCTATCCCTTTCTTCATCCACCCACGCCAGAGGCAACAGCTCAAGAGCTGTCTTCTGGGTATGCCAACGGCACTCTGCCCAAGTGGAATCTGGGATGGAATCTTGTCCGATGTCGGCACAGAGGCTGTGATAGAGGGTTGCCTTGAACTCGGAGACGCCATCAAAGATGTCCTCGGCACACGTCGCTTCAGGTTTCTCATGCTGAATAGTGCGAACCATCCCGTGCAACCCGCGTTGAAGCCTCCTTACTTTACCGCCCGAGCTGAGGACGAGGCTCTGGAACCCAAGGCAAATGCCAAGAACCGGCAGCATATGCTCATCTTGCAATCTCCAAATACATCTCATGAGCCCAACATCCGTTTCATTCTCGGGGGAGCCAGGCCCAGGTCCGCAGACCACTGCATGATACCGTGATAATTCCCGATGAAAATCGACCGAGAAAGTCGGCGACTTTTGGTCTAGCAAGGGCGTATCAATCGGTAAAACGTGTACATCGGCGTCAAGCAACGTTGTGAGAAGGGATACGATATTGTTCGTAAAGGAGTCGTACGCATCAAAAAACAGAATCTGAGGTCGCGTCATCCTTGGTTATTAGTGAGATTCCGGATTTTCCTTTTAAGACGACGACAGCGACAACCTCGAATGCAACGCTCGCAAAACGGGAATGGCTTGACCAAAGCTTGTACGGCGGAAACGGATCTCTTTGGGTTGGTAAAAAGGCCCGCTGTCGGCTAGCACCGGAAAGCGACTCCCTAAGGAAAATTTGGTGGCAACAGCAGAAACGAGAAGGCGGTCAGACCCACGCATGAATCGCCCGTGAGCCCTTTGTTCGGGACGCAGGGATGAGCTTAATTCGATCGCCGGGCTGATCGAGGTATCCCTGGATTGGACCTTGCTTGAACCCGTCGCAGCTAGTCAAGAATTGGTAGCGGCTTGAGTCGTCTATCAAGAAGTCAATTATCTACTTATTGGAGGCCGCTGCGATCGCCAACTCCACCATGGTGTGAATCACTTCTTCTACATGTCCACCATCATACAGTTCGTCATGTGAATAGCTCGAGTCGCTAGTCCTGATCCACCACCTTGATGATACAGGGTTGCCTTGAGTGCCATATGCGCCTTTCCTTCGCACCAATGATCGCGTTGAGCATCGTCTGAGTGTCCGATCGCTGTCGGCTCTCTTGTGTCTCTTCCTGCTCCTTCTTTCCCTTTGGCTCTTCCCAAATCTGGTACTCCTCAACGGATGCCCCTATTTCGAACTCTCCTCGACAGAGTGCCATGGCCTGAATCTCCACTTCTGTAGTCGCCTTGGCCGCCAACAGCGGAAGTGCCTGCTGTAAGGTACCGTTCCAGGCAAATTTTCGCGTAAAGTCCAATGCTACGTTCAACGGACGGTGGCATAAGGCTGGCATCAGTCTCAACATCGGATAGACTGGCTTGGCTGACCGATTGGTGATACCAATCTTGACCTGGACAAAGTTGTCGACGAGTATCGTCTCTTTGACCATTTCGCCTACAGTTTGGCCCGAGTCCTGTACCGATATTTCGATGCCGACATCATCAATCCTGAGAGCGTCCATCATCCTGGGTGAAAGCCTAATGGTTCTCAGGTCTATGTAACCGCTTCGCTTTGGGCCAGATACTGTTTTCCACCTGGCTGTGAGCGTTTCCAGTATTTTTTCCCTCATCCAGAATGCTTCGCGATTCGAGCGTTCCATGTCGGGCGTAATCTTGCTTGTGCTCACAACAAATTGCCGCTGTCTTGATGGGTTGAGTGCCGGGATCGATGCGTGAGGGTCCTCGAGGTAAATGCGCCGTAGGGGAACGATAACGCGACTGGTGTTCCCCGGGAGAACGTGTTCCTCAATCACAATACCGTCCTCACCATCCATTTCGACCTCCATATTGTTCGGCCAAGCATTGCGCAGATCCATAGACAAAAGACAATATTCATCTGCCAATGTCGAAGGATCAACCTTGGACTCCAGGTTTGTAAGACTGAGAAGCGGCTTGGGTACGGGTCCGCTGAGAGGCAGGATATCGAGTCGCGTGAGCTCGACGCTAGCATTTACAGTGACCGTCAACTGCAGCGAGACCTGCCGGGTATGGAATTTGTCCGTCACTTCCTCGGGAGGCACTCCGAGATGGGCATAGTCGATCTGAATGGCAGCGTTCGTCAACCCAGGCTTGCCTAGGATTTCGAAATCAAATGTGGCAGTGCCTCCTGGAGCAATGTATCGCTTCTCCGGTTCCTTCTTGTTCAACCTTCGAAGACCTTGGCGTCTCATCAGAATGTATTCGTATTCGTACAATTCGGCTGGCGTAGCATCTCTGTTGTTGATGCCTGCCTGCAGCGGTCCCTGCGTGGAATCTTGGAAAGAGAAAAGCATAAAGTCCACTGGAGTTGTTTGGGAGAGATTCTGCAACGTGACAGAGAACACCTGTCTCTCTCCCTCGAGCACCATGACGGAAGCCTGGGGTAACGTTGTCGACTTGACAATAACAATAGGCTGTTTAGGGATGACATTCAATGCGACACTCTCTACCTTCAGCGGTTGGCCAACAAGGGCTCCTGAGGCAAGGGTGGTTTCCAAGGCTTGAAGTCCGGTAGCCTTTACCTTGACATCTGCTTGCGGCGTCCATGGCTGTTTGAATATGGGGAATCGTCTCTCGCGACAGCCGCGGACACGGATGATTGCGCCTGTTACCTTCAAGGCACCCGGTCCTTTTGGTGTTCCCGAGACTTTGAGAATCTGTGTTCGGTACGGGCCAATAATGGTGCTCTCAAAGCTCGATTCGAATTCTGCGCCGCTGGTGTCCAGGCGAAGGCTTTCGACATCCACCTCGATGTCATATGGGTTCTGAAGAGTAACTCTAAAGGTTGCGGGCTCGTTCGCAACGAGAAGGTGGTCAGCAGCTTTATCGGGCTGCTTAAGGAATGGGTTGTATATAAAAGGATTGACGTCTTGAGAAGTTCTCGCAGTTACTGCTCCAGGAAGTGTACTCTTGGCATGCGGGACCGGAATTCTGGTAATCGGAAGTGGTTCTAAGGCGACGCCACGGACGAAGAACTCGTCCCAGTACTCCGCCGCGAGCTGATTAAGGCCTAATCTTTTCGCGAGATTCGATGTCTTTGAAATATTTGTGGCGAGCCGGGTCTGTTCGTCGCGAGTAATGACCGGTGATGCATCTTCTTTGCGAGGGCCAGGGGCAACTCCTGAGCCAGCGGTGCGAAGCAGATCACTGGAGAACTTCAAAACACCATTGAAGTCAGGCAACGCTTCAGAAAAGTTGATGCATGCTCTCAGTATGTTCAGCTTGACACTGGTGAACCCAAAGAATCTCGCAGCTGCCTGTCCCCGAATTCTATCGATGACAGCAGCGTCCGAGTCCTCTGTCGAAATGGCATCGTCTGCGGGTTGTTTCTTCATGTCAAAGCCGACAACACCGTAAGACTTGCACAAAAGAGCCAAAAATGCCTCGATTCCCTGTTCAACGTCGCCTTCGCCCAGCTCGAGTGCGACTGCGCTATTACTGTGCCCGTTGGCAGCATTCAGAGCTACCAGGCCTGCCGCAGGGTGTATACCCATGTCTGCAGCACCACGAGTGCGCGCCTCAACCAGTCCGCTGATTAGGACGGAAACGAGTTCTCTGGTTACCATTGCTTTCTTCCGATGATGACCGAGAGGTCCAAGAACGGATGCGATTCCTGCTAGAATCGAAACTCTATCTGCGATGGTGAGAAGCTCCGACGAAGAGGCAGGAAACGCGCGGAAGAGAAATGTGACGATTGACTGTCGGCTCGGGACAACGGTCAACCGGGGCGAGGTCGTCAGAGGGGTCGAGGGCAGTTTTCCAAAGATCATGATCTCGTAGGCACGCTCTCCGAGCTTTCCGTCAGCAAGGTGCAAAGCAGACAAAATCTTGGAGAATCTAATTGTCGTCTCCGCCAGGGGTAAGGGAGGCAGATGCTCAGCAGATATACGAGAATACAGCCCGGCGATTCGGTCCAAAAGGTCTGGAAGTATAATCTGAAGGTTTCGAATATGCTTGGGCTGGCCTGCATCAGTTGGGGTCGCTGCTTCTAGGGCAGCATATGTAGCAGCCGTAGATTTGTCTTGTGGGGGCAGGCAAATAGACGGGACCTGAAAGTCGACCTTGACCCAGCCTAGCAGCAGTAGACAGAGAGTGATCAACTCGAGTGCCTTGCCATGCCATATGTGATCGTTTATCGATTTGGCTACTGTTGCGCCATCTATAAGTTCTTTCAAAGCATCGGTCCAGCGACCTGCTTGCAGATACAAAGACCCCATAAGGATCTTGACTCTGCTTTTGCCTTTCGCTCTGAAGCGATCGTTGAGACCACCGGGGCCGAAGCCCTGCACCGAAACTCGATCTGAACTTTCTGACCTGAAGTGGTCTCCAGCACCCGGCCTTGCATTTCGGTCAGGGGTCGAAGAGTCACTACTCATGCCGGAAGTCAAATCGTCAAAAGTGGTAGGAGGGTTCGACAGTCCGCTTTTCACAGGAGTTGACGGCCGAGCGGGCGTTGAGTTGCTCGACGATACAGCCGAGTTGTGCTTCATAGGCGCAACCGGCATAGACATGCGATTCATGTGCCGATCTGGAATACCACTGGTCGAGCTCGATCTCTGCGGACCAGGAACGAATTGAGATGCCCTCTTATTTACCGAACCAGAATCATCTGCGCCCCATGATGCGCCGTTCGTTTGTCTACTTGACTGAGACTGTCCGGGAGAATCGATGAAGTTCCAGGCTTCAAACGACTTGGCCAGTCTTGTCATTTCCGCCAGGAGCTGCGACGTAATGTCGCACATTATAGTTTTCATGGTCGTCCGCTTGCACTCGTCCGGCGGTGGTATAGCGATGAGTCCCTCGGGTAAAGGTACCGGGTTCTCCTTCGAAAGCGCATGGTCGAAGATCAGCACTCGGTGAACCAGTGCCCTTCCGAAGCGGTCTCTCAAGTCCTCCAACTCCTGGTCCAGCGTTCGGATGTTTTGTTCGGCAACGGTGGGCGCATTTCCAGAGTGTCTCTTGCTGAAGGTGACTCGGCTGAGTTCCTCTCCGTCAGCGATTGCAATAACCGCTAGGGGTTCACGGTAGAAGTCGAACGGCGATAGCGCGAGATGCGAAGGTGGGGGGACGTGGGTTATGAGTTCGTAGAATACGGCGCCGTCAGGGAAGGCCAAAGGGGAAAACATATCTACAGATTGACAGTCAGTATGAGGGTTCTTGAAAAGAATGTGGGAAATGGAAGGACGTGCTCCTGTTTGGCCGCCCATCAGGGCTGACATCCCGCAAGGAGACGACATGTTCAGGCCGCAGGCGTTCAATGAAGGACGAGAAACGATCACTTCTGATTTGGCCCAGGGGTAGAATCAATGCCTTCACCCTCGCGGGAGCGATGGGTAACAGCGAGTCCAAGCTCATCCTAGCATATGTATCTCCCGTCCAGCATCTTCAACTCAAAGTATGTTGCGGGCGAGCTATGTGGCCATATCGCGATGGTCTCGTGCGTTTGGCGCCACACCAGGAGAACACGGAAGTGCGCGAAGCTCGAC